AAATGCATTAGTGGTTAAGTAAGTGAATAAATGAGGATGAGAAAAAGGGAATTAAAATTCCAAACAAAACTCAAATTTATAAGGGAACTAGCACCCACAGATCTTAATTCTCTCTACTGCTCACAGAAGGCCACAAGCTCACTTCTGTTGGCAGAACTAAAAACTACTTTCAGCACAGTTAGAAGAAAGTAATAATCCTGCAACCAACCAAAGCTCTGTGTCCTGGTTTAAAAAAAAAAAAAAGTATTTCCCAATCTGACTTAAAAAAAAATCTAGTGCACCACCCATGTTTAGGAACACTAATAAACTTTCACATCTGGCAATCCAGGGTGTCAGCCAGACAGACTGCAACAGCAGCGTCACCCACAAACAGAGCATTCTCCAGGCTAAATGCTGTTAGTCATCCTAAACCGGCTATGGGAGCCAAGACGCCCTCGCTCTCGTAAACAGGAAATCAGTGGGTTTGCCACATCAGAGCGGGCGCGATAACTCTTTCCCCTGGTGAAAAGCTGCATAATGGACACATACATTCCCAAGAGTGTTTCATTCCAAAGTGCAGTTTTACCCCTAAGTGGCTGCCGGGGGCCATAGATCAATTCACAAAGAGAACGAATCCCAAGAGAGCGGAAGGTTAAAAAAGAACCTCAGGCCACTGTCCCTTCATCGTCTGCTAGGGGTCGCTGGGATGTAGGGTCTGAATGAAAGCAGAAACACAGTCCTTTTCTATTTTGTCTCCTGGTAGACATACCCCTAATCCAATCCTAACAAGGTAGTATTAACAGCTGTTTACAGATGGGGACTGTATCAATGCCGCAACAGCCTCTGTGTTCACACAAAGACTTTGTTCAGACACTCTCTACCCAGGGAGACGCGTTCAAAAAACTGGTTGAATTTTTTCAGAAAATAGTAAACACAAAAATAGGGATTTTCATACAGAAATCACAAACGCAGCATTAACAGGATCCCAGTATAAACGCGTCTGGGATATCCAATCCCTTCAATGGTGGCCTTGTGGGTGCTAAACAACACCGCCTCCTTTGGGGGAGTCCAGTGGCAACACCGATTCTCTGAATAGAAAGTCTTTAATGATGATCTTTCCACTCAGGCCACAGACAGAACCTTGGGCATTCCCTCTCTCTACTAGAACAGAAATTCAAACCCTTGAAGGCACCATTCATGGTGCAGCAAAGAAAGGAAGAGTATGGAACCCTCAGCACGTGACGATGCCCTCGCGTGCGCTCTGCTCCCCGCAGTGCCAGGCCGGTGAACGCCGGAAAGTCTCTGCTCCGGGCTGCCCTCGGAACAGGGAGGAGAGCTGCGTTCTGAGCGTGCTTTGCAGGCACAGGAGCCCTCCCCAGAGGGCAACAGCGCAGGTGCACTCCAGCGAGCAGGCGCGGAGATCCTGACACACACCACCTCATCCGTCCCCCCACACCTCTGCACAGGACTCAGGAAGCCTCAGTCCTGTGTTGGCTTCAGCCCACCTCCTGGAGACGAACGGCCAAGGCAGCCTGAGCACAGCACACACTGCTCTTCAGCAGTCAGCCACTGGCTCCTTAAAAATGGAGTCTGCACTGCCACGAGCCTCCTCCAGGAGGCGCTCTGACAGTAGGCTCCAGCTCACACACTAGAACGTGTGGGACCCACTTTCCTCAATGAATCCCAAGGGCCAGTGGGACGCTTCTTTTCTAGAAAAGCACAGAAGCTGAGGGCAATGCACCCCCACTTCCCTTGCTCCCTGAAACCTACCGGCGCGGCTCACTAGGCTAATCCTCTGCCTGCAGCGCCGGCACCCTGGGTTCTAGTTCTGGTTAGGGAGCCGGTCCTGTCCCGGTTGCCCCTCTTCCAGTCCAGCTCTCTGCTGTGGCCCAGGAAGGCAGTGGAGGATGGCCCAGGTGCTTGGGCCCTGCACCCGCATGGGAGACCAGGAGAAGCACCTGGCTCCTGGCTTCGGATTGGCACAGCTCCAGCTGTAGCAGCCATTTGGGGGGGTGAACCAACGGAAGGAGGACCTTCTCTCTCTCTCTCTCACTGTCTGACTCTATCTGTCAAATAAAAAAAATGCTTCCCAAAAAAGTTATATGTTTATATGTTTAATGTGTGTAAATTTTAAATTTTTTTAGTATGAATTGCTGTTTTCTACTTTAATACGAAAGCAAACCGACATAAATTTAACAACTACACGAAGCAGCAAAGGAGAGGAGGGTGCTATTCAGAATCCCTGGGTGGGGGCCCCTCGAGCTTGTCACCACCCACTAGGGTCGGGGCGGGGGGAGCCCGAGGCTCCTTTAGGATCCCCCAACAGCAGAGGCTGAGCCAAGGACGTGGGTACAGAAGTCCACTTGGAGGCTGACCCTGAGCCTCCAAGGCAGGAAGCTGGGAAGAGACGAGAGGGGCAGAGGCCCCTAGAAAGGCGAGGGCCAGGGGCTGCTGTGTGCCACAGGGACGCAACCCCAGGGGCCGTCTGAGCAGCGGTGTGCAGTGCACCCCCACAGTAGCCTCGCGGCGGGGGGGTGGCATCCTGCACGGCCCAGCCCCCACTGGAGGGTGCCGCCTCCAGGTCACAGGGCCTCCTGTCAGGCTCCCTTTTTTTTTTTTGACAGGCAGAGTGGACAGTGAGAGAGAGAGAGACAGAGAGAAAGGTCTTCCTTTGCCATTGGTTCACCCTCCAATGGCCTCCATGGCTGGCGCGCTGCAGCCGGCGCACCACGCTGATCCAATGGCAGGAGCCAGGTACTTCTCCTGGTCTCCCATGGGGTGCAGGGCCCAAGCACTTGGGCCATCCTCCACTGCACTCCCTGGCCACAGCAGAGAGCTGGCCTGGAAGAAGGGCAACCGGGACAGAATCCGGCGCCCCGACCGGGACTAGAACCCGGTGTGCCGGTGCCGCAAGGTGGAGGATTAGCCTAGTGAGCCACGGCGCCGGCCATCAGGCTCCTTAAATGCAAGTTTCTCTACTGGTCACGACGCTCTATACCAGTGAGAGTTTCAGACTTCATCGTTTTCCAATTTCCCATCTACCCACTCCATATTCCCCTTTCCCACCTTCACAAACCACCCCTGGAGCTCAGGACAGGGACCAACCGTGAAATCCCGGGGGCAGAAGGGGACCGCTAGGGTTTGAATACAGCTCCCTCCCCCTGCTGGGGAATTCAGTCCTCAAAGTCTTAAGAGGATGAAAAGTCGATCCAGTTCTGGGGTTCAGAGCTTCAGAGCGGGAGCCGTTGGATTAGGTCATCACTGCGGAGCCCACGATGATCGACCCGGGTGGCTTTGTAAGGAGACACAGACAAGAGCACTCTCCGGCCCTCCATCGCCTTGGGACCCTAGCAGCAAGATCACCATCGCCAGAGGCCAACAGAGCCTGTCTGATCTTGAACTATGCGCCTACAAAACCGTGAACCAACACAAACCCCTTCCCTTTAATAAAGTAGGTTGGGCATGGAACCACCTGGGAAACGCACCCAACAGAGCACAGTCTTGCCAGGAAAGCCGGACGGGGCCAGCGGCTCCCACCTGAGTGGTGCAATCCCCATCCAGGTGGGTGCCCAGGAGGCACTAGGAAGAGGACCTGCTGTGGACAAGCTGCCAATACGCTCAGCCCTCTGGACACCCAGACACTGGGATTCCTCAGGGAGGCAAGCGGTCAAGATTCAGAACATCAGAACGGCTACCAAGGAGAAGGAACACAACGGCTGTCTAACACAACCTGGACCACCCCATAACTCTGTTTCCTTGCAAAAAGACAAAAAGAGAAGGGGGAGAAAGCTTTCCTCACCTGCCTGATACTTCCTATTAAAAAAAAAAAGGTAAATTTGTCCCTTTTGCTATTTTCTATAGAAATTTATTCCTGCAAATACCAAAAGTCTCATAAAGTCTATAGTGATTTCTTATTATGATAAAATGCATACAGGTACAACACAGGTAGAGTGCGTATCCCTGAAGAGTGATGAATCCAGTGAATGGACACATGCATCTATTATATGGGATACTCGGGCCTGTACCAGCTGCCCAGGGCGGCTGAATAATGGCCCTAATAGAACCAAGTAATTAATTAGCTCCATCATAACTTTTGCTTTATAATTCTCACTTTTATATGCCAATAGTCCATTTAATAGTATTTTAAATTGGAAGAAAGCCCCAAGAGAGGTGGAAAAAGTACCAGATACCTTATTGAATCACAAATCTTACAAGCCAATTTTATCATTCCAAAAATGACCTAATAAACTGGCTTTATAATTAAATCCATCCTATCAACTTCTCTTTGGTGTTTTTCATTCATTTTTGGTAATCACGCAGAGATTTCCATTGGAAACCCATTATAATGGTAATTAAATAGAAAAATTACTTTGTGCACTCCCAGGATGAAAGCGCTCTGCCTGGGCTCCCATAGAGCTGCAGCGGCATCCTCCAGGTGTTGAGAGGCAGACGCCAGGCATTCGCACTAGCCAGAGCCTCTAACTCACCTGACTGGAGTTTATGAAATATGCATGAGTGAGCTCAGACACTCAGACCTTCCCGTGATCTCCACACTCAGGGATTCCACCTTGAGAGAATCACACTGGGGTACGAGTTTTTATTTTTAGCCTTTCACAAAGTTTTAAAATTCATGACCTACACTGAAAATTGGCTGTTTATTGAGATAGTAAAAAATAATTGTATCAGCCCAACAGAACACTAGAAAATGGTTTTGCCCTAGATTCAAATGAAGAAGTAGCGGCTCCCATCTTCCGCATGCATGCAGGTTTCATCTGCCTTCAGTCACAGAGTAGTTCCAACACTAAATAAATACTGTGGGTGATTCTCTAGAGTGCAGTTTTAGAGAATGTTATTCATGCAAAAATAATTGTTTTCCATTTTCTGAAAGTGCCACAATTATAAAATGCATGGAAGAAACAGTCTTTGAATGGCTTAAATAATCCAAGTTTGCAAGCAAAATTACAGCCTAAAAATATTAGCCACTGATAGCAATTACGAAGGAAGCCAGGACAGAGTCTTACCGCTGGCTGTGTTCTTTTTCAAGTTGTCCAGGAATTCCTCCAGCAGCTGGGACTGGTTGGGAGGGGGCAAGAGCCCCTTCTGGTCCCGGGAGAACAGGTCGCTGTCCGACCACGAGGCGCACAGGGTGCCTCTGGTGTCCGGAGGCCGGGCAAGCAGAGTGAGCCCCACGGTCTTCTCGGAAAACAGGGCCTCCATCTGCTTGAGGTCCAGGTCACACACGGCTTCCCCGTTTAGGGTCATGATTTCATTGCCCTTTCTCAGCCCTGAGAACGAGAAAGGGGGAAGAGGAAGAAAAAAAGGAGAGGCAGATGAGACCGTGAGAAATCGTTCACAAGGCAGCAAACTTAAACCCTGTACTCAGGGGGATTGTTTTGCTTGCTGTCTCCAAAGACAGCACCGCAGTGTACAGTGTACACTGATGACAAAACTAATTTCACACCGGCAGAGCCAGAAGTGGGAACAATTGGGGGGGGGTCCCGCGTTAATTGTTCTTTGAGCGTTCTGATGGTAAATCCACGGGGGAACACTGTTTTTGTCTCTGTGTGTCTCTCTCAGTCTCTTCCTCTCTCCCTCTCTACCAGCGTGGATTTGCTCTCTTGGTACCTGTAGGAGCTCCCACACTTTTAAAATGCACATACACACACACACACACACCCCGCCACCTTCTCTTCTCATATGCACATTCACTTTCGATTAAACTCTTAAGTTCATTTTCTGTGAAATTCTGACAAAAGTGGAGGATGAACATTTCATCGGCCAGACTGCACTGCACAGCTTCAATCACGCCTGAACCCAGACACCGGGCCCCACACACCTTCCCCGTACGCCAGGCCGTCCGGGAGGACGTCGCTTATGAATATCCGGCTGAGGCGCTGCCGCTCGTCCACCTGCGCAGTCACTGCAAATCCTGGCAAAGAAAATCAGAGGGCAAATGAGTCTGTGTTCACCACGCCCCAATCCCTCACCCAACCCGCAGTATTTCCTTGAGCGGCGATTCCTGCAGAAGAGGTATGTTGAAAAAGCCAAAATTACCACTATTTTAAAAGCACAAATATCTAGCACAGGCAAAAAAAATAAAAACAACAAAAAAAAAAGAGGAACATGTCAGCTGGGAAGGTTTAAGACAGATGAGGGCACAACCTCATTCAAAAGTTGACAACATCTGCTGTGTGTTCATAGCAGCATTACTCAAAGCAGCCGAAAGGTGAGCACACCCCGACAGCCCATCAGCAGGCGAATGGATAAACAAGTGTGGTTTATTCTTGCAGAGCGCGTCACGTAGCCCTCAAAGAGAAAGGAAATCCTGGCACCTGCAGCAGCACGGGTGAACTCTGAGGACATTCTGCCAAGTGCAACAAGGCAATCGCAAAAAGCCGCGTTTTACAGGATTCCGCTTACAGAAAGCACCTAGAGCAGTCAGAATCACAGACTCAGAGCAGGAGGGCGCTTGCAGGGGCTGCTGGGAGGTTCGGGGGAGCTGGTGTCAAAGGGGTGCACAGTTTCAGTGGTGCAAGATGAAAAAGAGGCCTTGGATGGCTGCACAGCGCTGTGAACATCCTCAACACCATGAAACCGTGCACTTCAAGTGGTGAAGGTGACAAACGTCGTGTTAAATGCAGCTTTTTTTACCACAAGTATTTTTTTTTTTAAGCTGGAACTTAAAAATACTCTTAACAGAAATAAAGCAAATTTAGTTTAATACAATAAATATTTGCTGGAAAACAACTATGGGTGGATGGGGCTAGGCACCTTAAGAGGGTGAAAATGGAGCAGGTGTTTGGCCTAGCAGCTAAGATGCTCTGGTCCCTCTCTCTGTGACTCTGCCTTTTAAAGAAAAAAGAAAAAAATAAAAATAAAAATAGGGGCCTTCATTGTGGCACAGCAGGTTAGGTCACCACCCGCAACACCAGCTTCCCATATAGGCACCAGTTCCGATCAAAGTTGCTCCAGTTTTGATTCAGCTCCTCGCTAATGCACCTGGGAAAGCAGCAGAGGATGACCCAAGTGCTTGGGACCCCGAAGCTATGTGAGAGACCCAGATGAAAATCCTGGCTTCCGGCTTCAGTCTGGCCCAGCCCTGGCCATTGCAGGCCACTTGGGAAGTGAACCAGCAGATGGAAGCATTTCTCTCTCTCTTTGCCTTTCAAATAAATAAATAAGTATATTTTTTTTAATTTTATATCTCAAAAAGAGAGAGACACAATAAGGGGCCAGCTTTGAGGTACAGCAGGTACAGCTGCGACTTGGCAGTGCTGGCATCCTATATATGCATTGGTTTGAGTCCTGGCTGCTCCACTTCCAATCCAGCTCCCTGCTAATGGCCCAGGAAAGCAGCAGGAGATGGCCCAAGTGCCCTGGGCCCCTGCCACCTATGTGGGGGACCCAGATGAAGCTCCTAGCTTCAGCCTGGCCCAACCCGGGTCATAGATGCCATTTGGAGAATGAACCAGTGCGTGAAGATTGCTCTTTCTCTCTCTCTCTGTCTCTCTCCTTCTCTCTGTAACTCTGCCTTCCAAATAAATAAATAAATTTTTAAATACTAATTTTTTAAAAAAAAGAAGGTGGAAAGGCTTGGGTGGATACGGTGCTTAACGGCAGGTGACAGCATGCCGGGCACATTAGGAGGCATGTCTCCACAGCCTGCTGGAAGGAGTCACGTTTCCCTAGGGCTCCCTGGTGTCTCAAGCGGAGCCTGGCAGATGGTGGTCCCAAAAGGCCTTTTTACAAGTGTCTTGGTTCAGTCATTCAAGCACACAGGACACACAAAGAGAGGCCCTGGAAAGCAGGGTGAGGGCCAACAGACGCACAGCCAAGGCTAAGAGGCCTCCAAAGGCAAAACTAACATAGTTAGGGCAAAACTGATTATGTAAATAAAGAAATGGAGCAAACCTTAAAAATAATTTTATGTAACTTTAACATATTATGACCTGAGTCGTTTGAAAGGCAAATAACCATTCCATCAACACATTAACAAGGGAAGAAACAGTCTGGCTATGCACATATTACCATAGACTTATTATTGAATTTCTACAGTCTCAGACAATACAAGATAGAAATGAACGTTAAGACACAAGTACAGTCTACAAAGAGCTTAGCGCCAAGTTTAAACACAGACCAACAGAAACACAAAAATTAAATGCTGCAAAGTGATTTTAGAAGTGCTGATCCTTAGGGGCCGGTGGTGGTAAGATGGTAAAGCTACAACCCATGGGACCAACATTCCATATGGATGCCGGTTCGAGCCCCAGCTGTTCCACTTCCAATCCAGCTCCCTACTAGTGCACCTGGGAAAGCAGCCCTTGGGGCCCTACATTCACATGGGGGACCTAGATGAAGATCCTGGTTCCTGGCTTTGGATAGGCTCAGCTCCAGCCGTTGTGGCCATTTGGGGAGTGACCAGCAGATGGAAGATCTGTGTCTTTTTCTGTAAAACTTGGCTTTTTAAATAAATAAATAAATCTTTAAAAATTATATAGAAAGAAATGCTGACCCTTCATTGATAAGATCAGGGAAGAAAGAGGTAAGGGAAGATAAAGCAGTCAGAAGACACACTTTCTGGAGAGCCAGACTGAGTCCGACCTTGAGTCCGACCTTGGAGGAATGACATCGTCAGGAGGAAGAGTAAGACGGCAGTGCAGGTGGGCAAAGGAGGCCAACAGTGAAGACACTGGGGAGCAAGGAGCTGGCACACAGAACCGTGCTGACTGCCTTCGGGTAGAACCTGGCCACGGCAAACCCCCCGTGTGAGCGGGGACCACCACCTCCGTCACTTCCAACCTCTCGTCCATTTCTCGATACATCCCTTTTCACTACTTCGGCCTTGCTTCCTAACATCGATGCAAGTCTTTCTAGTCTACAAACAAGCAAGAGAAATTCAGAACTTCCTGTCTTACAAGTATATTCTGAAAACGTGAGCGTAAAGGAAAAAAAATGACACCCAAAGACAGCAGGGCAAGCGAGGTGCGGATGAGCAGGGCAGCTCTCAGAGGGGTGCCCCGACACGTACCGAAGTCGGATGCGCTGCCGGTCTTCGTGAGCTGCACAGCGTGCACAGTTAGTGGAAAGACTTCTATTTCATCATAAACCTGTAAGAGGTGAAAACAGCAAAATCAGAGGATCCGAATCTACGATATTTCGGAAGGTCACCGACATCTCTGTTCATGATAAAGCGAGAAAGCAGTTTATTTTATTTTATTTTATTTTTATTTTTTGGACAGGCAAAGTTAGACAGTGAGAGAGAGAGACAGACAGAAAGGCCTTCCTTCCGTTGGTTCACCCCTCAAATGGCCGCTACAGCCAGTACACTGCGTCAATCCAAAGCCAGGAGTCAGGTGCTTCTCCTGGTCTTCCACGCAGGTGCAGGGCCCAAGGCCTTGGGCCATCCTCCAGTCATGTATTTTCTTACACAGGATACTTTGAACACAAAGACTGTTTCCTAACTAGATGCCACATTTAAACTGAGTTTTCTCCTAAAGTCACATTTTTCAAAATCAAAAGGCCACAGAGATGGCTCACACTTCCCGTTCTAAGTGAACGCACACTTGCCTGTTCGTGCATATATTCACAGGGTGCGGGGATACAGTACTCAACGGTCTCGTCTACTAACTTCCGAAGCTGAAGGCCATAGTGGCTGGGTTCCAACTGCCTCATCTATAAAGACAAAAGAAGTTCACTCAGATGTTTAAATGTCCTTTCTAAATCCATCACTGTTCACCGGGTTCATTCAGAGTCAAAGCAGGAAGCCTCTGTGTCGGCCGAGTTTCAGCGTATCTGAGATCCCACACTTAATTGTGCAGGAAAGAAAAGGAGAGACGATTGTTTTTGAGGTTTTTCTCTAAATGACGCCACTCATCTCTAAAGGCAAGAGATATTTTTAAGAGGTTATGATAGGATACACCTTAAATTATCTTAGCATCTCAGCAAATGTAGTCTCTTTGTGTATTGGTTGTACATAACTGAGTTGTTTTCCAAGAGAAATTTGTAAACTAATAATAATCTCAGATTCTACAGACTCCAGAATTAGGAATCTGTTACTCCAAAAACTCTAGAAAAGGAAAAATCTGTTCTCTTCTCCTCTCCCTCTCTCTCTTCCCTCTCTCGTACATACATAGGCCATCACTTGAAAAACTTATCCACTTTAAAACTGGTATTAGTGACGGAGAACACTGTTGCTTTTATGAATAAAAACCTTACGTACTGGAGCAAAGAGGAAATGAAGATTCTTAAGCACACAAGATACAGACGTATATAAACGTACAGTATCCTAAAGCTTCAAGTCAGAGTGACAGAAGACTCAAAATAACCATTACCCACATCGACCAAGCGTGCGTGGTAAAGAGTTATCAAACTATCACTCTGTGCCTTTTTCACCGCTTCACATATTTGGGTGTATTTTCTTTAGAAACTTTAAAAACTATTTAAGCTCTACTCTGCCATCTGGTGGTCGAAAAGTTTCTGCTCTGACACTGCTCACCACACTCTCTCTTGCAGACTTACATACTCGGATTCAGCTTGATGGATGAAAACAAGGACTCCAGAGAGTTCGCAGAAAGCGAAATTAAAAGAGTTTATTTAGGTGCAAAAGTTTATGAAAATCCTGCAGTATTTTCTTCATCACACACATTATCTGTGAAATTTTGGAAGGCCCCTCATAATACATTTCCAATAAATAATTGCAAATGGGATCAAATAGCTAATTTATAGAAGTGTTGTAAAGCTAGTTAGGATTAAATCAAACCCTGCAAAGTTTATGCCACTTTTTTTAGAGTATCATCTCTCTAAGTAACTGGCAACAGACTTCATAATTATTCCAGACTTAAGAAAGGAACACAAAGAAATTCAGTAGAATCCAAGTTCTTCAGGAAGGCATGGATCCAAAGGAATCCAGTGGCAGAATGCACATGAATAAATACATTAATAGATACACTAATATGTCCCCTAATCTAGAAAGTGAAATCCTAAACACCACACAAAGTTAAAGACGCAGGGGTGCAACACCAATGACCTTCTTCTATTCAGAAGCAGATTCCTGCACCAAAAGCCATTACCTTGCACGCCAAAGTCAAAACATCTTCTACTCTGTGTTCGGGCTTGATCGTTACAGTGACTCCTTGACTGTCCCGAAAGTGAACGTAGGCCTGACTCTCCCATGCGTTGTCTCGGGGAACGCCATCCAGGGGTGAACTGTATCCATGCAGAAGGTCATCCACCTGATTGACACAGCACAAGAAAACGCTAAAGGGTCTCATATACAAATGCAAAAACAACTGAGAAAAAGTCCCCTTAATTTGCAGAGTATTTATCGGAAATCCTTCTACTCTGCTCACGTCACTCGCTTCCCATGAGCCTCTGGGGCAGACAAGCCAGGTGCCTCCTCCCTCGTTCTGCAAGACCAAGGAGTCAGGTGCGAGTCAGCTGACTCCCTTCCCGGGGGAACTATGCATGTCCCATTTGGCCACTTAGACCAAGTTAGATCACTGCACTCCAGGTAGGGGCAGGTGAGGACCCACTCACGCTGCTCTAGCCCTGTGGCTGGGACAGGGCCACTGTGAAATCCACCTAAGCTGTGGCCCTTCTCAGTTTCCCAGTGAACTGCAGACACACTCATCCATGGCCACAGATGCCCACCTGCTTCCTGACCCTCACTTGCACTCAGCCTCCTCCAAGCACGATTCGCCTCCATTATTTCTACTTGTTGGTTTTGTTTCTCAATTAACCGCTGGACCTGGGGGGATCTCTCCCTCTCTCACCACTTTCGGGAAGCCTTTCCCAAGAATGTTTGCTTCCGTGAAGGTCACCATCACAGCAATTTCATGGCCTTGTGCTACCGTGCACGCTACAATTCACAGCAAAAAATGCACAGTGTAAAAGCAGTTCAGAAATATTTATCTTGGTCTAGGCTCCAGAATTCTCATGGGAGTAAATAAAACATTTGGGGATTTGAAACCAAAGGTCATAGGTGCTAGCACTGAACCTGCAGAGAGCGGCCTAGGATAAGACATTCACCTGGCTAAGCCTCACCTGCCCTCCTGTAAAAGGGCCATGAATAAACAAGTAAAGTTTGGGGCCGGCGCTGTGGCGCAGCGGGTTAACACCCTGGCCTGAAGCGCTGGCATCCCACATGGGTGCTGGTTCAAGACCCGGCTGCTCCACTTCCGATCCAGCTCCTTGCTATGGCCTGGGAAAGCAAAAGATGGCCCAAGTCCTCGGGCCCCTGCACCTATGTGGGAGACCCAGAAGAAGCTCCTGGCTTTGGACCATGGCAGCTCTGGCTGTTGCGGCCAATTGGGGAGTGAACCAGCAGATGGAAGACCTCTCTCTTGTAACTCTTTCAAATAAATAAATAAATCTTTAAAAAAATAAACTAGTTAAGTTTATCAATTAACTGGAGAAACTTTGTGAACAAAGGAAGTCATACACGTGAAAACACCTTACACACCAGAAGAGGTCCCAGATTCAGTACTATCATATTGCTACATCTCACTTATCATACCTCAAGTCCCTGCATTCTTAAGAGCACAAGACCCTCCTGCATAGGATTACAAAGCTAGAACAGAGATAGAGAAGAAATTCAAACGAACAGGTTTAAGCAAAGCAAGGGGAGAATCAAGCTCCTGTGTCGTCGTTTTGAAAACGTGGCGCTCAACTTTGAAGTGACATTTCCGGATCTGTCACTCCCAGCACATTTTCCTGGCAGGATGACCACAGTCAGAATAAAAACCCCCTCGTGTGCCAGGAGGGAGAAGGGTTGGGTGGAGGAAGCCCTCTGCGTGCCACGCTCAGAGCGCTGTCTCCAGACCTCCTCTCCTGTGTCTCTCTCCCAGGGACTCCTCCTCATCTGGGCAGATTTCAGCCAGGTGTTTGGGCAACAGGCAGGTGCCGCCCTAAGTCTTGGGTCCCACCTCTCAAGTACACTTGCTGCGAATCAAACTAGAGCCCCAGCAGAGGTCACTGTGCAGTAAGAAACCACGCAAGGCGGCAGCGCGGTTGGGCACTGCACTTTTGGAGAGCAGGAAACGGTCACTGAGGATGAGACAAAGACACTGGGATGCAGTCGCAGCCCTGTCCCCTCCCCTGCTGTGCAACCCTGACACTGCCTCACCCAAAGCCAAATGCAACAAACTCAACACGCTGCTTGCCCGTTCACTCACCACTCACACCACCTGTCATGACCATGGCCCACCCCCTAGTTAACAGGTGAGAAAAAGAAAGCTCAGAAGATTCTAGAAACTCACCCAAGCTCACATCACTAGTGACTGTAGCCCGGGACATCTGGGCTTGAACCTGTACTCACCACCAGGATGCTCTATAGAAACATCACCCTGGCAGTTAACACACACACACACACACACACACACACACAGGGGTGTTGCCTAAATCTATTTTGTCCCCATTAGTCTACTACATATACCAGGATCTGGTTGAACCAGACATTCCCCAGAAAGGACTGGCACTCACCTGCCTCCCTTCCATTTCTTGTGTTTTCTCCCTCCCAGCTCCAAGTGCTGAAACCATATGCAAGAGTATCATATATACACACACACACACACACACACACACTCTCCCGTCTCTGTCCCCCACTCCCAATTCCACTCAGTTCCATGACTCTGCTCGTCTAGGTCCCTAGCATAGCAATCATCAAAGCCCCGCCCACGTAGCGGTCACTTTTAGGTCCCCTGCCACGGCCCTGGGTGATGAGTGAGAGCAAGGGCTTGGAGTTTCTCCTTCCCCATCTCCTTCAGACCTTAACACAGTAGGGCTGCACCCAGAACAACCCAGCACCTGGGGGCTGCATCAGCTACAAGGAGCAATTCACAGTCACGCACAGGCGTGAAAGGGAAAAGCTATGCATCTTCAGCAGCCGATCCAAATATATTTACACAAAGGCTTAATCCTACCTGAGTTTCAAGAAGAGAAACTGACAGATTGAAAAAGCAAAACAAGTCCTGGATAAGAGAAAGGTGTGCAGGTAAGTGGAGGGACAGACAGAAGTACAGAAGAAATATCCCCATTATATTCAATTACATAAAGCTTTGTGCTTACCACTGCTCCTGGGAATCATTCTCTGGGCCTACCCCATTAACCTAAGATCCAATTTATGACAGAAGGAAAATGCCTACCCAGGCCAAGGTCATCAAGGATTCAGACCCTCAAAATGCCTCAATGAAAGTTTAGTATAATTTTCTTCTGCAAGGCACACACACTTACACACATGCTCATGCTATTAACATATTCAATTCAAGAAAGGTTAAACCCAGTTATTCAAAAGCATCCAGATTGCAGAACTGGGTGTGGGCATTCAGCACAGTGGTTAAGCCACCTCTTGCTATACCCGCATCCCATACCAGAGTGGGTGGACTGAGTCCTGGCTCCACTCTCCATTCCAACTTCCTGCTACTACACACCTTGGGAGGCAGCAGTGATGGCTCAGGCACTTGGGTTCCTACCATCCAGGTGGGTGACCCAGATTGAATTCCAGGCACCTGGCATCAGTCTGGCACAGTCCCGGCTGTTAGGAGCATTTGGAGAATGAACCAGCAAATAAGAGATCTCTATCTTTCTGTGTTGCTCTGCCTTTCAAATAAATAACTAAAATTGTTAGCTGGAAAAAAGACTGCAGAATTGACGGGTTAATTAATTCACTAGAACTAGAAGTTTAAAAGCTACTTGATACTAGAGGTCTCCTCGGCTGCTATAAACTTTACCTACTTGGTGAGAAAGCTGGACTGATTCCAGCAAGCAGGATTAACACTGTCTATCCAAGCTGACAGCACACATGCTTTCGATTCAATAACCTTGATAAAATACCGTCCTGCAATCTTTTAGTAAAAGGAACAGAGAAATCTTGAAAACAGGCCCATATGCACACCCACGTGTGCACACACACACACAAGCCAACTGGGCAGGTCTTTTCCCTGCTCACTGTGTTAAGTGAATTTTTGTGCGCACTCACCTGGAATTTGGTAACTGGCTATCTTTGTCCACTGCTGCACACCCACCTGGCCTCCTGCTCCACAAGCCTCCCCCACTCCATGACTCCTCCCCAGCCACCTGAGAAAAATGAGCTTCCAAATGGACCAGTCAAGGCTGCTGGTTGCTGGGGAACACAAACAGGGGCAGCACAAATGTACTAAGACAGCCCAGCTCGGAGCACTGGTCATCCAGGGGCCCAGTAAAAGCTTGACCCGGGGAATGGCATTCCCAAGGCATCATGTCTAAAGCCTGCAGAAGGGCACTAAACTGTACCCGACACAACCACCGCCATTCAGTAATGGCCACCGCGGGGCACCACACGGGAGCCCGGCCCAGCTTCTGTGGGCACTGTGGAATTGGCGGCGGCTGCGTGGGCTCACCCTGCAGTCCCGCCCTGATGTGGGCGCACCAGCAACGCACTGGAGCCACAACCCCTACAGCCAGGTGGGTTAACACATGCAAACCCCGCCTTTTTACGGCAACTTGTACAGAAGCATTTATTATTATTATTATTATTATATTAATGAAACCACATGTCAAATTGCTGAGGCTTGGTGTGCCGCTCACTCGGAGAGAAAATTGAGACTTAGTGCATTCTCACAGCAGATGCTTTGGGATCTAATGGCTTGTAATTACCGCTTGGATCAGGGAGGGGTAGTGAGTAGCACATCACAATCTGGCTGGCAGGAGCGGGGCCCACAGCAAGGACCGGCTATTAGCAAGTGAGATGAGAAGCCAACACAAAAGGAGCCCTAGGCCCGCGTCGTCTTCACAAATGTCACAGAAGACAAAGTGTTTATTTCCTTCTTGGGCTCCAGCCCACACGTCAGTTGATAGGAAAGGAAAACAAAGCCCGCTCTCGCTGGCTCGCGGGTCGCCTGTACACGTGTCTGTGTGTGGACACATCTGTGACGCGGGGCTCCACACTGATAGTCTGTTGACATAGACCACAGTGGGCCAGTCAAGACTGAGTGGTTTCATTCACATTTTCCATTTTCCACCTGAGAAACAAACAGTAGGGTAGTCTCCCCCACCCCGAGCTCTGGTTTGGAGCTAATGACAGGCGACAAGACTTCATTCACTCACCACCATGGAAAGCTGGGACGCCCCAAGCCAAGTTTCCAGGGGAGAGGGCCAAGGCCCAGGGGCTGCCACAGTCTCAGAGTGCGGCTTCTGCTGTAGCTGCCACCCAGTGCTTCAGCAGGGGGCTTGTTGTCACAGTCTCCATAACAAACACCTCCCTTCAGACGCCCCAGGAAGGCCATTATTACTCAGCAAGAAGCGGCTGTTAAAAGCTTTCGGGTTTTTTGGCGAGCCAAAGTATCCTTCAGAAAATACTCAAATAAGACTGGCTTTATTCCAAGGGTAACAGATTTCAAATGAGGGCGGCTCAGGTTTGGACCGCCCCGAGATGCGCCAATTAGAGTGGAATATTTTAGATTGCTCACAGCCCCTCCGTCACAATGGCTCCTCTGTGCTACACGGACGGACATAATGTACTCGCTGTATAAAAACAGATGCTTTGTCCTCCTTATAAATATTCCCCGAGAATGATCAGCAGAGGAAAACTGGTGAAATGTACTATTAATTATTCAACCAGGTAACCGGCTGACTGGAAGTCCCAGAGACATAAAATATCAAATTATACCCTTAATAGTAGCAGCAAATCAATTTGGACTTCGTTGTCTGAGAACTGAGGCACAGAAATAATAGATACACCATCAAAATAGTGCTATGAAAGAAACGAATTTTCTCATTCTTCCCATATCAAAAGTATGGGATGACTTCCTAGATATGAGAACTTAAAAAGTATAGACCCCTGCACTATGACACTTTCCTCTCACCTCTTGAAGCATTGATGGATTTGTCTGCCAAATACAAGAAAATCATCTGCTAATGTGAGCCCAGTTTAAATATGCACTAAGTTTACTTCTCACCCCCAGTGGTTATTTTAGCAAAAATTTATTTTCAAAGGCCAATATAACTTCTGTTCACAGAAAGTGCTTCAATGATGTAATTTCTCAATCTTTAAAGAAGGAATTTAAAATTGTTATACAATGCTTGGAAAGCCTAAAATCATAAGCTATTACGGCAAATAGAGCAGTTCTCCATCATTAAATGACTACATCTAACATAAATAACTAATGTGCAAATCATTAAGCCAGTACCATATATTTAACAATGTGCTAGAGACTTGGAATATACATGTAAGTCATAGGAGAGGCCTAAACGCTACAGACCAAGGGCCCTGACGACCAGCTCTCCCGGAAAAGACATACAAGAGGGGACTTCAAAAAAAGTTCATGGAGGTGTCGGCACTGTGCCGTAGCAGGTTAAGCTACGTTCTACAGTGCCAGCATTCCCTATGGGCACTAGTTCAAGATCTGGCTGCTCCCCTTTCAATCCAGCTCCCTGCTAGTGTGCCTGGGAAGGCAATGGAAGATGGCCCAGGTCCTCAGGCCCCTGCACACACACAGGAGACTAGAATGAAGCTCCTGGTTCTTGACTTCAGCCTGGCCCAGCCCTGGCCATTGTGGTTATTTGGGGAGGGAACCAGCAGATGGAAGATCTTTCTCTCTCTCTCTCTGTAACTCTCCTTTCAAATAAATACATCTTTAAAAAAAAAAAATGAACTTTTGGTAAGGAAAATTTTTGAAATCCATGCGTACTTTTTCTATAATACACATTTTTTAAAGACTCTTATTCCATTGAAAAGATGGAGAACAACACAAGATGGTTGTGTTGAACCAGGCAGATAATTGCGACCAATAACAACAACAAAACCAAGTCAAGCCCCTTGAAGATGGCATGGTCTGATCTGGATTTTTAAACAGGTTCCACATGTGCACATAAATAAAAGGGCAGGGGAATGCTTTGTTATGAAAAGTCTGCCATGTGGGTGGAATGATTTATAAGAAGGATGGTTTGGATTTGACTTCCTCGCCCCCATCGTGGGTGAGATTCAGGTAAGGAGAGCATAATAAAACAGCAACTGCAGAAGCACAGGGTCTGGGTGGGAGCCACAGCGCCTCACTAGCTGGGCAGGGAGCCTTGGAGGAGCCAGGCTCTGAGCGGAGGGGTTTCTACCCCATTCTGAGCTCCTCCTGCAGGAAGCAGGACGGCTCGGGCAGAGCTGCCCCGGGAGCCTGCTCCACAACGATGCTGGCACAGCAGGGATCGGGCCACCCTCGCCCAGGAGCTGAGGGCGATTACAGAGCTGTCTGTGCTGTGTATTTGAGGATCAGTGAGATGCCCCTCCACCAGGATCTACCACCGCATCTGACACTCCAGCATTCCTCAGTGTTTTCAAACAAAATCCCTAATTCAATGAATTAGCCCCACTAATTTACTACCAACACCACTTGCTTCTGCAAAGGCATTTTAAGCTTATAGAAACCTATGATAAAATGACTCCCATTCTCAACAAACAGCTGAGAGGTCTGTCAGAACTCAAACAGAAGATAAAATGATTTAGTGGTGAAGATAAAGACTGATGGATAGATAGCGTGAAACAAGGCTTCAAAAGAAAAGCGTGGGTTTGAAACACAATGAATAAGCAAAGCACATCCAGTCTTTACCCTGCTCCAGAACTTCATTCTAAAACTCTTGTGAGGATCTGTTCAGTTGGAGCACTTGTAAGGCCAAAAGGAGGGGCCGGTGCTGTGGCACAGCAGGGTTAAAGCCCCAGTCTGCAGCACCAGCATCCCATATGGGCACTGGTTTGAGTCCCAGATGCTCCTCTACTGATCCAGCTCTCTGCTGTGGCCTGGGAAAGCAGTAGAAGGTGGTCCAAGTTCTTGGGCCCCTGCACCCACGTGGGAGACCTGGAAGAAGCTCCTGGCTTCGGATCAGCTCAGCTCTGGCTGTTGCGGTCATTTCGGGAATGAACCAGTAGAATGGAAGACCTCTCTCTCTCAGACGGTGTTGTCAGAAGCACTCAGCAGAAATCTAGTAGTCTATTGGAGATTATTTTAATTCTCAACCTGTTTTCAACACATTCTCACAGAAATTCTGAATGAGGATTCCCCCCCTAATTTCTCATTGGTATCATCATGGAAAACAAGATGGCTGCCACCTACAGCAAAGTTTACCTCGTTGGAGTGACTGGAGTTTTGAGGTAGCTGAGTTCCAGAAAATCCATGGCTGCCACTTGAATCAAATATCTGACAGACAGAGGGGGAAAAACACATGAAATGGCTGTGCAATGTTCATCTAGCCATTAGTCTTTTTAAACATTGAAAAATTAAATTTCTCTATAATAGTGTGAGACCTTGATATCAAAATTTGTAACATCTACTATTCTACTACATTTAAAGTTTCAACTTTGAAAAAAAAACAAGATTTTTTTTTCCTTTCTGTATGGTTCTACATTGTATTCTTCAATGGTGCCACCTATTACCCAAGGCTTCCGAGTCTTCCTGATGTTGCTTTTAAGCCAAAGCACGTATTTTTGAAGATGTGGGACACAACCCAGAGTTGAGTTGGCAAAACCGCCAAAATCAAGCATAGAACTCTATATGCACAGAATAAATCCTGGAAGAAACTATAGCTAAATGTAAAAAATGGGTTATGCGTGGGTAGAGGGACTAGGAATCATTTCCTTATCCAAATTTTACCTTCTAACTTTTGTAACAGAATAACTGACACTAACGATCATGTTAACATTCAGGAAAACCTACCAAATCAACTTCATTCATTTACATGAGTACCAACACTATAACTGGTTCCATATCTTTTTCAAACAAACCAAAAGATGTTCCACCAAATGCTTTTTGTTTATTAAGAAATCTTATGTTGAGAACATTTACCCCACACACTGGGTAAAGACCACATTAGATTGATGTCTAGTTGGCTGCATGTCTGTCTCTAAGGAAAAGAAGTCTTTCATGGTGCACTTTATCATGTTACCATTAATTATACAAAACGGACTATCTTAATTAAAATCAGAAGTGGCTATAAGGACATTAGCTAAACTTCAAAAAGGCTCAACTCCTACAGCAAAGGCCCTGCATTAGCCAGTGGCTTACAGGTGACTACAATCTATAATGAAGAAATCTATGTCCATTTGTAACCAACAAATGATTACTCTTTACAAGTAACAGCGCAGCCACAATTTTAGGGGCCACATAAAAAGGTTTCATGAGTTTCAGTTCATTCTCTTGATCAGTTCACACCCAGCCCCACCTCAACACCTGTATTGTTGCAAGGTTTTCAACAGGTCTAAGAAGCTGATAAGTGATACCAGTCTTTCTAGTCACCTAAACCACACAAGTGTTATGCACAAATTAAAAAGACACATACAAGTTAGAAAACCAAGTCAAATAAAACCAGACTCTCTTTCAGCTGATACTGAAAGCAACAGGAGCAACCTGGTAAAAATAAAACAACTTCTGATTTAGTTGCAATGTTCTCCCTGGTCTCTAAATCAGATCATCACCTAAGTTCTCTTTCCAATAGTCTTTGAAAAAATAATCATCTTAACACACCAATCAGCAGGAGAGAGCTCATTATCATACACTAAGTGACGGGCATTATGAAACACAGCCAATACACACCTTCAAGGTGTTCTGACATCACCACACTCTCCCTGGGCCACAGATGCTCAGGCTATCTTACTCCATAAAACGTTAAAATGGCCACCACTCCTCAGAGGCAAAGAAGCATCAGCAACTGTCCAGGGTTTGGACTCAGGCAGGCCCCAGTTCTGCCCTTGGGGTGCTGGTGAATAGGGAAGGGGTCAGAATCTCTCCAAGTGTCAGTCTCCTGTCTATGAAATGGGATGACACAAGACCTGCACTCCATGTTGTAAGGATGCAGGAAGCAAAGCGTCCAGCTCTAGCCACAGGATGTAAAATCAATGGAAAGAGAAACAGGAGTGCTATAGGCAATGAAAAGTGTGGGTCCTTTCCGGCTTCCTCTTGTGTGTTCCTACACACCCCGCCTCTGGATGGGCCAAGCACATGGAGCCACTTTATAAAAGGCCCACACGATGATGGATTCCTCTGGATCAACCTTCTCTGCTGCCTTGAAAGGGGATGAACGCTCAGGGTCTGCAGCCGGGGTGGCAGGCGTGTCCCAGGGGCCCGTGGCTCCCCGCTGCTGCTCACCTGTGCTATGGAGGCTCTTTTCTCCTTCCCTCTTCTTGCCAGGGTGTCCAGCCCTTTTAAGGAGGAGAAGATGCCCTTCTTGCTCCTCCCCTGCTGCGTCAGAGACAGGGTTCTTTTCCGGAGAGCGGAGTCATCCCTAGAGCACACCTAAATTCACACACAGCCAAAAAAAAAAAAAACCACCTTCAGGGTTATTATGCAAACAGGAGGAAATGCTGTGTGCTTGCAAATGCATTCTGACCCATGAGGAGTGTGCCTGTCATCTCGCTACCTCTTATCTGGATGGTACAAGCCACTACAGCGGTCAGATCTCTCTGCAGGGGGCGGCAGGGTGAACGCCACCACCTACAGAGCCCGAGCTGCGCCAGTGCAACACAGTGAAGCCAGCTCAGCAGACCCAGGGGGGCCCTCTGCAGCTCGGGTCACACAGCCTTGACTCAGTCCTTTCATTCTCTAGAGCACTGTGCCACTCCTTGGGGACCCCGCTCTCCTGGCCATGCTGGGTGGACCAGACGGAGAGGGAGAGGCAGACGCGGTTATGTGACCATGGGCACTGCCAGTTGGAGCCCTCACATAAGCACTAGAGGAGCTAGGGACTCCGCACCGTCTCCTCCCCCCAGGCCCAGGCCCCTGGCCTCAGGCAGCCCTCGGCAGCTGCCGGGCTCAGCGGAGCAAGCTGCAGAGAGTGGAGCGTCCCCGGCCCTCCCTGGGTGGCGCCCACACAGCCCTCGCTGGGAACTCACCAGAGCGTGGAAAGAAGACACGGACAAGACGCCCAGCCTGCCCAGGGCCAGCTTGGAGGGGCGGCTGGCGGCAGCCAGGAGACTCTTGGGGTTCGGCAGCTCCCCGCCTTGTAAGCTGGCCAGGTAGCAGCGCATCCTGAAGAGATCCATGTGAAACTTCTCCAGGTTCTGCTCCCACTGCTGGATCTTAAAGCAAAACCACGGACAACTTAAAGAAAAGTCAGTTTTCACGGGCTGGGTTCAAATGAGATCCCTGTCACAAACTTTAAGGAAAAATTCATTGCAGCTGGGGTTACGTGGGTCCAATCAGCGCTCCCTGATCACACCACCTGGAACTCTCCCGACAGAAGCAGAGAGCTGGTCTCACAGTGCTGGGGGTCACCAGGACCACCCAAAACGAGAAGGCTGGTGGTCCCAACACAGTGACATGCCAAAACACCAAGCCATCGTGACCTAAGACAGGAGCCACCGTGTAAGCCAGGCTTTCCAATGTACTTCATGTTTACAGCACACAAAGAGATGAGGAATGAATGAAGCTGGGGCTTCGTGTTCCTGGTCTTTTGAAGTGCATGAGTCAAAACAATAAGAAGCAAATGGACTTCAGGAAAAAATACAAACAGGACTTTTACTTCTATTTTCAGTATCTTGAAGAATAATCACCATCTGGCCATCTGATTAAAATTCAAGTATCTACAGTTGCTAACACACCAGTAACCAATCCTTCTGACTTAAAGAGACGAAGTTACGAGTTGGTACAGAGAGGGAGTCCAATGCTGGGACTCCTCTCCTTGGTGCGGATGTCAGAATCTGTTACAGAATGGGCGAAAACGGCTCTCATGACCTGGCCACACAGGAAGTCAGCAACACAAGAGAAACCGGGCCCTCCAAAGGTCTTAAGGAGGGCCGGCACTGCAGTGCGGTGAGCAAAGCTGCCGCCTGCAAGGCCGAGTGCCAGCTGCTTCAAGTCCTGGCTGCTCCTCTTCTGACCCAGCTCCCTCCTCATGATCCCCGGAAGGCAGCAGCAGATGGCCCAAGCCCTTGAGCCCCTACACCCACGTGGGAGACCCGGATGGAACTCTGGGCTCCTGGCTTCGGTAGCCATTGTGACCACTTAGAGAGTAAACCAGTGGATGGAAGAAATCTGTCACTTTGTCTTTCAAATACATAAATAAGTCTTTTTAAAAAAAAAAGTCTTGAGGAGCAGTCTCAAAATGCAAGAGGGGACCCGCGAGACCCAGTTCAAGAGCTACGTCATTTCCCTTCTAACCACTGCATCTCCAGTTTTGCCAAGTTACAGCAAACAGACCCGGACCCTTCACGCTGGACTTTGAGTGAATCCACAATCACTGGCAAGTGCTATGTGGGAGGACTGCCAACCCTGAACACTGTGTCCCCTCAGTTCCTTCCCATGGAAAAGCAGAACAAATCCTGGGTGTTTTCCAGTCTCTCTCAAAGTCCTCTGTTAGCATTTCTTTTTTTTTTTTGGACAGGCAGAGTTAGACAGTGAGAAAGAGATACAGAGAGAGAAAGGTCTTCCTTCTGTTGGTTCACCTCCCCCCAAATGGCTGCCAGGGCCGGCGCGCTGTGCTGATCCGAAGGCAGGAGCCAGGTGCTTCTCCAGGTCTCCCATGTGGGTGCAGGGCCTAAGCACTTGGGCCATCCTCCACTGCACTCCTGGGCCACCGCAGAGAGCTGGACTGGAAGAGGAGCAACTGGGACAGAACTGGCGCCCTACCCGGGACTAGAACCCAGGGTGCTGGCGCCGCAGGTAGAGGATTTGCCTAGTGAGCCGCGGCGCCAGCCCTGTTAGCATTTCTCATCTAGGTCACTGTACAACACTCCTGCAGGAAAGAAACAGGATGGCAATCAGAGCCACAGGAATCATGTGCTGACTCATCATTATCAGTAGAACAAGGAAGTCAGAGAGCACACTGAAGTGACCGCGGTGTCCAGGGGAAGGAAGGAGGGGGGAGGAGGGGGAGGAGGGGGGAGCAGGGAAAAGGAAAGGAGAGGAGAAAACCCAGGTCAACGTGAGCCATAGTAGATGAGAGATGACATACATGATCTTACACTGACACTGAATTCCTCAGTTTACAAAGTACTCTCAAAAGCATCATTTAATGTATTTATGTGACTACACATCAAATCACCACCAATAGGTTAAGACAGTTCTATCACAAATGATACACAGGGAATCAAAACTTTATCAGAGGGGCGCAGTGGGTTAAAGCCCTGGCCTGAGGTGCCAGAATCCCATATGGGTGCCGGTTCCAGTCCCAGCTGCTCCTCATCTGATCCAGCTCTCTGCGATGTCCTGGGAAAGCAGTAGAAGATGGCCCAAGTCCTTTGGCCCCTGCACCCACGTGGGAGACCTGGATCGGTGCATCTCCGGCCATTGTGTCCATCTGGGGCATGAGCAAGCAGATGGAAGACCTCTCTGTCTCTACCTCTCTCTGTAACTCTGTCCTTTGGATAAATAAAATAAATCTTTAAAAAAATAAAAAAAGAAAGAAGGAACTGCAAAAATAAAAAAATTTATCAGAGGGGCCAGTCCTGTAGTGTAGCAGGTAAAGCTGCCACCTGCAGTGCCGGCATCCCACATGGACGCCAGTTCAAGTCCTGGCTGCTCCACTTCCGATCCAGCTCTCTGCTATGGACCAAGTTCTTGGGCCCCTACACCAACGTGGGAGACCCAGAAGAAGCTCCTGGCTTCCGATCGGTCCAGCCCTGGTTGTTGCATCCATTTGGGAAGTAAACCAGTGGAAGGAAGACCTCTCTCTAGCTCTCTCCTGCCTCTAGTTCTACCTTTCAAAAAAATAAATAAAAATCTTCCAAAAAACTTTATCAGAAGCACTTTAATCATTTTTAGCACTTGTAGATTGCTCCACCCAGGACGCAGGTGAATTCAAGGGAAGAACACGGATCCTGAGGCTTAGGTTGATTAGAGGGAAGACAGGGCTAGGAGACCCCCGTAGCCTGAAGCAGTCAGAAGCACAAGGATTTTGCTAAAATGGGATTTCAGTTCAAGAGAATTAGTATCAAGCCAGCGCCACGGCTCACTAGGCTAATCCTCTGCCTTGCGGAGCCAGCACACCAGGTTCTAGTCCCGGTCAGGGCGCCAGATTCTGTCCTGGCTGCCCTTCTTCCAGGCCAGTTCTCTGCTGTGGCCCGGGAGTGCAGTGGAGGATGGCCCAAGTGCTTGGGCCCTGCACCCCATGGGAGACCAGGAGAAGCACCTGGCTCCTGCCATCGGATCAGCGCGGTGCACCGGCCGCAGCACGCTGGCGGCCATTGGAGGGTGAACCAATGGCAAAAGGAAGACCTTTCTCTCTATCTCTCTCTCTCACTGTCCACTCTGCCTGTCAAAAAATAAAAAAATAAAATAAAAGAGAGAATTAGTATCTCGGTCAATCATGTTCATTGTGGAGGTCATTTATAAATTTTATAGAATTTATAAATTTTATAGAAAACGTGAAGGAAAAGTGACCTCTATTTCAACAACTCCTCTACTTCAACAACACTCCTTGTCCTTTTCTTGATGGGAACCTTCATGATGCTTGATTTTTAGGTGACAACTTGATGGGCCACAGGGTGCTCAGATTACTACTGTCTACTACAATCTCGGTATTTGGGGATGAGACCAGTATTTCAGTGGGAGACGGGTCAAGCTGATGCCTTCCAAATGTGGGCGGGCCTCAGCCACTCCAGCCTTCCTTGCGCTGAGTACAAAGTCCGCCTGTCCGACTTCAAACTGGGACCCTGGCTTTTCTCTTTGCCTTTGGATTCTGACAGAAACATGGGCTCTTCTTAGTCTTGGGCTCATAGCCTTCCGCCGGACACACACCCTTGGCACTCCTGGGTCCCAGCTTGCTGACTGATCTTGCAGATGCTGGGGCGTCACCACCTTCACAATTGTCTATTTCCTATAAGAAGTCTATCTGTCCACCCATGTGTGCACACCGCTTCTCTGCAGATCCCTGACTACTCACAGCCTCCGAAGGAAGCCGTCATCAGCACACTTCCGATGCATGTTTAGAGATAACATCTGCCTTGCTTTGAAGATCATTGTTCTTTACAGTGAGAATCCGGTGAGCTTATGAGGTTGTGGTTGGATAAAGTATAATGAAGTGCTTGATTGTCCTTTTCAAAGTTGTACAGAAGGAGGCCAGCATTGAGCCACAGCCAAGTGAAGCCACCACCTACGAAGCAGGCACTGATGCAAGCTCTGGTTTGAGACCCAGCTGCTCTGCTTCTGATCCAGCTCCCAGCTAACGTAGCTGGGACAGCAGCAGACGGTGGCCCAAGTGCTTGGGCCCAGACAGAGTTCCTGGCTCCTGGCTTTAGCCTGGCTCAGTCCTGGCTATTGCAGCCATTTGGGGGAGTGAACGAGAGGATGGAAGATCTCTGTCTCATTGTCTCCCTCTCTCTAATTCTGCCTTTCAAATAAAGTAAAGAATTTTTTTTTAAAAAAAAAAAGCAAAGTTGTAGAGATGGACTTGGAAGATTGTGCATCAAAACGTATAGTGAATATGTGGATTCAGATGCTTGGGCTTCCCAGAGGCGAGGCAGGAGCAAAGGGCTGGGTGTACAAGCTCCAAACAGAGCCAGTCACATACAAGCAGCCTGTCAAGTATGCAAGGAACTTGCAAAGGAGCTGTGTTCCCCTTGTTTCTCACTGGTGGAGTCTGAGGCCCAGAAGGAAAATGGCATGACCAAGTCAAGTAACAAGCTGGCCCTTCCAGACATGCAAAGACCCAAACTGACACCAACGTGAGCAACTGCGGAGGGCAGGATGCCATCAAGGATCCGCAGTGTAGCAGAGGCCTTCCGGCCCCTACCATGGGCGTGTGCGTGGTCCAGATACCTATCTCAGCCTGCCAACTTTCTCCCCACAAATGCATTCTACAGGTATTCAACTCTAAGGTGCCCTCTTCCTGTTCAACATTTTGCATTTCAATTGCCTCCCAGCCCTGGCATTCAAATTCAGCCCACTTAAACTGAGACTTTTCCCCCTGTTTTCTCTAACTTCCTAAAATACTGACCATTGCCCTTAGATTTATTTTTAAAGATAAACATCAGGACAAGATGTTAAAAACACAACCTGTACATAAATTGAGCTTTCTTTTAACATCCATGAAAAAGACATAAAAAATAACATGGATTTAAAAAAAAAAACACTCTACTAA